CATAAAAATGGTCTTGGGCCTATAAGTCGCAGTGCATGTAAATTATGCAAAAAAACTGCGACTTATACAAAGAAAAATACGGTAGTTATTGACCAAAATAAAATAAGTCTAGTAAAACCTTTATTTGCATTTTTCCCTCACCGATTTTGGTCTACAGATCATAAAAATACAACCTTTAGAAATGCTAACATTAAACAGATTTTGCAATTAATATTCATATGTACGGTAATATATAGAATTAATACGTTATACAAATAATAGCACGGTTGTGTCCTGTAGTTCAGTTCTTTTGAGTTTTCTAAGATATCTGAAATGGAAACGAGTTTCGTCTTCTGTTTTGACCAGCAGAGTAAACACATGTTTTTCCTGGTTACTCAGGGACCATAGTGAGGTGTTGGCAGAAGACCAAGAGAAGCTCCGAGTGCTTCAGCCGCTCCAACCCTGGTTCACACAAGAGCAGAGAGAGGAGCTGGCTGAGGTCCATCCTTGGATTAAGCAGCACACCATCCCACAGGAAATAGACACGCAGGTAACACAGATAAGTTCTCTGTGTACCGTAATGAACCCATATTATATATATCATGATGTATTTATTGCGTTATTTTAATATGTTGTAAACTATGTAATTATATGTACGCAGGCTCCTTCTATAAGCTTTAAGTAGCTTTTCGGAGACCTGATTCGCACACTGTTATCTTGCAGTTATGCATTATGTTTTCTGATTCTCTGTGTGTATGTGAATAAACTGAATAAACTACTGAACACGTGTTGTCTCACAGGGCTGCGTGAGCTGCAGTTCAGGACCAGCCATGGCCCGCTCCTCTCAGCCTCCCGTCTTAAACGGTTCAGCACCTGTAGAAGGCCTTCAGCAGGACTCCATCGGACCTGTGGTTAACACCTAAAGAGACGCGGCACCTCAATCAGCCGTTACACAGCTCAGCAGTGAACAAGTCAGAAACCTCAGCACCTGCTATACATCTTATTTGACCCATCTGGAGAAAGTGGAGCTCTGCTCTTTAGGCTAAGGGTTAATGTTCTGTACAATCATCGGGGACTAGAGCCCAGCCTAAACAAAAAAGTGGGGAAGAGACAAACCGTACATGTTACTGCCATTTTCTGTTTAATGTGGCTGAATTCACCTCGTTGTTGATATTATACCTCTGTTGTTTAGTGTTAATAGAGCCCCTGGTGGAGTTTGTCTCCACGTCCTTTGAGGTGTTCCAGAAGGATCGTTGCTGCCCCTGAACACGAGCACTGTGTAAACACCTGCACTACCTGTTCAGTGCAAGCGTCACTGGGCGAGGAGATGAAAACTGTTCTGCTGGTTCTTCACCAGCGACACAGTGGACATATTGTAGAGTCTGTGCACCGCATCAACTCCCTCAGCGACACACGGTTACAGTATAACCCACCAGAACCAAGACACGGTGGGCTAATTTTGTATTTGATCGAATGGACACTTGCTGCTCTTGCTCGTTTCTAATGTTCTGGTAAAAACTTGTGATTTGAGTGTACTTTGTTCTTGTTCCATAGCTTGATCTCTTGTCATTATCATGTTGTGTTGACTCGTGGACAGCAGCAAACCACATGTGTTTTTGCTAAAAACAAGTCGTTGCTAAAATCCCTAAAAACTATCGCCACACTTTACCGGTAGCCTTGTTGTGTACAGCCCCAAATTTCCACTGATCCCTTTTCTTACTGAATGAATTCCCTTTTTAGATCCAGCAGCTCTTTTTGACTGTGTGTGTATATTAGAGGGAGAGAGGTGGAGGAACTGATTGTCATTCTGTGAATGTTGTCACTCTTCTTCTTGTGTCGTCCGGCTGCAGGCGGGCTCGTGGGTGTGAACGAGTGGCCGTCTCCGTCCTTCAATACACGTGTCCAGCGCAACACCGACCACGTTTTCTATCATTTTTAGATCAAAAGTATACGACAGTACTGCGTATTTTATAGACTATGTATTCAAGGCTTACTTCAAATTGTATAAAAGAAGCCATTTTTCTTGAATTCAGGGACTGTTTGTGACAAAAGAATGAATAAATGACTTATGACCAAACCTGTGTGTGATTCTCTGTCAAACACAGAAAAGTTTCACACGAAGTGGGACAACGTTCGTGCCCCACGGCGCGACCAGAAGGGGAGGAACATGTACACAACGTTTGTTGGGACCAAATCAAACTATTTTAAAAGTTCTATTGATTTTTTATTCATTTTATTTTTATAGATGACAATTAATTAAGGAAATGAGGTCAGCTTGTCCTCCAGTAGTCTAAGCCTATAGCAGCAACAACCCAACCCTAACTGGAGTTAGTTAGTGGGAGAGATCATATCTCTCCAGTTTTGGCTTCTCTTCATTAGCTCCTTGTCAAGTCCAGAATAGAATTCAAAATCTTACTTCTAACCTACAAAGCTCTCAACAACCTAGCTCCATCTTATATTACATATCTCATTATCTTAAATTTTCCTAACAGAGCACTTTGCTCTCAGATTGCAGGTTTACTTGCGGTTCCTAGAGTTTCCAAAAGCAGAATGGAAGATCTTTCAGTTATCAGGCTCCTCTCTTGTGGAACCAACTTCCAGTTTCTGTCCATAAGGCTGACACATTGTCCAGTTTTGACTGGGCTTAAGACTTTCCTTTTTGATAAATCCTATAGTTAGGACTCTGGCAGCAGCATTTTGGATCAACTGAAGACTAAAGATGTTTTCTGTATGTGTTTTTCACAAACGCCACTAACTAGATTATGAACTGAACACTTTATTGTATTAAAGTGCAGCAGAAACACGGGTATTAACTTTATATGACACAAAACTGAACTAAGCAAAAGCTAAAAAATGTAGAAAGTTGAATGAATACTGATGAAACAGCTAATGCTGGTTTTGTCACACTAGAGGGGGCCGTGGCAGCTGAAACTATATCTGAAAACACAAGAATCGGTAATATTTACAAACTAACATAAATCACACCAATGGTTAACTGTACCTTGACTTCAGTGTTCCAGTTTTTGCACAAATTTAACATTCTCACTGAAGACTATGAAAGAAAAACTTTCAACATCAATAAAAGAATCAACAGCTGTTAAAAAAAAAAAAGAGTTGTTTTCTGTCCACAATAATTTTAACAGTAACTTCCTGCGTCGTTTTAGGTTAAAAACAGTGAGTGATTAAAAACGGGCTTGTATCCTCCTTTAAAAAGTGTAATAGTTATACATGAATCCGTTAAAAATCACTTTGTACATAAAACAAACTGAAGCTTCAGTCCAAACAAAATGAAAAGTCGGATCAAGAAGAACAAATGGAAACGGACGCATAAGAGGAATGATCCAAGCTGGAATAACAGAAAAGTCCAACTTATTCAACCGTCTGCATATTTGTCCCTCATCCAGGGCCGGAGTCGCACTCAGCACACCGGCCACTGTCCCAGTTTGATAGAAATGATGTCTCTTAAAGACAACATTTCTTTTTAATCGAACCATGATTTTTACAACATAAGACCTCGTCGTGAATTAAAAAAGCAAAGCACTTTTGCAGCATTAGTTTCCGTCTTTAGTGCCAGGACAGAAGGTATCGTGGACCTGTTTAGTTTGGAGGACAGCCTCTGGACCAGCCGGGGACTCCGATTTCACTTCTGTCGCGTTTTTCTCTCACTTGGAAAACTTCTGCATCTCTGCAAGGAGCGTAGACAAACAAAGGCTGACGTTCAAGAAGGAAAAATAACCGTGAATAACAAACCGTGAATGTTGATGTTGCATCCGCACATACCTTTGTCAAGATCAATGAGCTTCGGCTGAGCGTTCACATGGGCGTTTTCCTTCAGCAGGTTGTTCTTGTAGTCTAAACACAGGAAAAAGGCCAACAAGATGAACCACTTTGTCTTTTTCTCTTCCTTGAAGAATGATGAACATCTGCCAAAGCCTCGTCTTGCTTGTCTTATCCACACAATTACTGCTGCAGACAAGTAGGACAAAATAAAAAGCTAACTTACCAAATCTTTGCTCCTCTTGATTGCACACATTCACCTCCCTGACATCTGTCTCATACTCCTCTGAGCTGCTGCCACTTCTGTTGGACCTGTCATGGGTAGAAATTACACTTAACGTGAAAAATAAAGGCTAAAACGGTAATTAGAGCCACAAAGAACTTAAGTCCACTCTGCTGCTTCTGCAGGATGTAAGAAGAGGGAAAGGCAACCAGATGTTTGATTCTGTTGTTTTCTTTCTTTGGCCTCAAATTATTTTATGCTGGATGAGCTCAAACCTGAAGCTTCAGGATTATAAGACCGTAGAAACTTTTTAGTCTGTAAACCAATATATTTCAGCGTCAGATGTGAGGCCATCTGTCTGACATCTGATTTTGGCCCAAACTGGGTCAAAAACCAGCACAATGATCCCAAACCTATCAGCAAAATGGCTGCAAAAGTATCAAAGTGTTGCAGAGGTCCAGTCAAAATACAACCTGACCGAAATGCTGTGGAGGAACCTGAACAGAACTGTGCAGACATGAATGTCTTCAAGCTTTAACCTCCTGACACCTGAGCTTTTGTTTGGTGTGCATTATTTTCTTTCACCATGGGATTAGTAGGACTTAATAAGTTAAATCACTAGACTCTGTCAAGGTACAGGAAGTATCCTGATGCATGCTCAATAACTCAATAACAGGAAGTAGTTTTAGGGAAAAAATGATATCCTCATATGAGGACAGTATGTTTATTTTTGCATTTTATATTTTTCTTTGCAAAACCAGAAGGTCCCAATACCTCTAAAAACAACATTTCCGCTCTCTATGGTCATCAGTTCTCTAAAAAACAAATGTCCTCATATGAGGACCCAGTGTCTCAGGAGTTTAAAGAAATGAAGCAATGTTGTAAAGAAGAGTGGACCAAAATTCCTCTACAGTACACCCATGTAAAAGACTCATAAAGTCCTTCAGAACCCCTAGACTGAGGAACAGCTTCTACCCTGAAGCTGTTAGACTCATACGTCCCTAATCAGGATTATCACAGTGAGAGAAAAATCACTGTAATGCCACTTTGTTTGAAGAAATGTGCTTCTGATTATCCATGCTGCTGATCTCATGCTTCTGATTATCCATGCTGCTGATCTCATGCTTCTGATTATTTCCTGCTGCTGTATTCATTCGTACTCATCTGCTCACACAGACTCATGTTCGTGCTCCTGTTGTTCGGCGTATTGTTTTGCACTATTACGTGTTTAGCGTATTTCTTAGTTTATATATTACTTTGTAGATCCTTACTACTGTTTCTTTTAACAATTTATATTTTTGCTATTGTTGGATGTAACTGAGACCCTGTGTATACAATTTCGTCCCACCTCATGTACCACATGTGATGCAAATGATAATAAAACCAACTTGAACTTGAAAAAAAAAAAACTACTGACAGTCCATGTTACAAAAGGAAGTTCTGCAGCCGTTTGAATCATGGAGTGGACAGTTTTTCCACACAGCTTATGCATTTTTGTTTAATAGATATTGACAAGGTGGAATCTGCTGTGTGTTTTTATGCACTTGTAGTCAAAATTAAATAATTTTGGAACCTGGTTCAGACTAGATCATTGTTAACACCCTGCAGAACGTCCAGTCTTTTTCCCATAACTGCTCATGGGTTTGTAAATGGACTGTACTTATACAGCTCCTTTCTGTCTTATCAAGACACTCAAAGCTCTTTACACTACAATCTGTGTCCTCATTTACCCGTTCATACAGCCCTCTACTAGATCTTTACAGAAAATAATCAGTGCTGTAGCACATTCACACACCGATGAGACACATATCAGAGGCAATGAGGGGTTCAGTGTACGCCTGTCACGATAACAAATTTTTCTGGGCGATTAATTGTCTCAGAAATTATTGCGATAAACGATAATATTGTTTGAAATTTGACAATAATTAGTAATTATTGTCAAATTTAAGAAGAAATGTTAGTTAATTTGTTTTGGGTGTAGTAGCTTTTTTGACCACCGGATGGCAGTATAAGACTGTCTGAACCAAAGGATGGGTAGTGAGGGAGCGAGCAGCGTGTCTCTTTAAGGAAACAAAAGGAGGGACGCCCCTTGACAAATGGTCTGTCTCTTCTTCCTTTTTTTTGGTTCTCAAAATGGCCGACGCTCGGTGTGGTTTGAGCTCTTTAGCATAGCATTTTTCACACAAAGCTTTTAATAAAAAAAATCAGTAAACAAGTTCTCGGCTGCTTTTTGCAGAGAAAAACAACTTTTGACACCAAAGCACATGTTTCAACTGTGAATTTTGGAGCTTCGACAAGACGGAGGTTTTAACACGCAATCTTATCTTTTATGGCATCTTAACACACCTGCCGTGAAACTGGTATGTTTTTATGTTTCTTTGTGTATGCTTTGGATGTTTTTATTGTCTTAATTAAGTTCTCTTTTTGTCTTATTGTACAGAAATAACGTTGATTGATTGGGTGATTGATTTTCCCGAGGTCGGCCTGTTAGCTTAGCTCGTAGCTTAGCTGCTTTTAACGATCCAAAAACAGATTTTACAGAGAAAAGAGAAGGGTAGGGATCAGTGAAGCGCACCGGAGATGGTCATCCGGTGTCTTCAGTAGAAAGAGAGAGACGAAGAAATGATAAAGCCGATAAATGAAAATGAAGTTGATAATTTATTCATCCATCCATTTTCTTTACCCGCTTATTCCATTTTGGGTCACGGGGGTCGCTGGTGCCCATGTCCAGCAATCACTGTGCGAGGGGCGGGGTACACCCTGGACGGGTCTCCAGTCCATCACAGGGTCACATAGAGACAAACGAGACAAACAACCATTCACTCTCTCACTCACACCTAGGGACAATTTAGAGTTACCAATCAGCCTAACATGCATGTTTTTGGACTGTGGGAGGAAACCGGAGTACCCGAGAAAACCCACGCATGCACGGAGAGAACATGCAAACTCCACCCAGAGGGCCCCTGGACCGGGGTTTGAACCAGGGACCTGCTCGCTGAGAGGCAGCAGCTCTACCAGTTGCGCCACTGTGCTGCCTTGATAATTTATTACGCAATTAATTGATTAATTGTTTATTGTGACAGGTCTAGTTCAGTGTCTTGCCCAGGGACACTTGGGCATGTGACTGCTGATGGAATCAAACCCCCAACTCTTGCATTGGAGGACGACTGCTCTAACCACTCAGCCACAGCCGCCCCACACGGTTTGTGTCCAGATAACACTCACCTCATGGACGCTCTGGGATAAAAATCTGGAATAACCAAAAAAAAAAAAAAAAAAATCATAAATAAAAAAACAGATGATATTAAAAATTTTGAGTGAATCAAAGCGAACCAGCCGAACTCTGCAGCCTAGACCTTTGGCTCGACGTCGCCGTGTGATGAGAATGATGATGAGGGTAATGAACGCCAGAAGCAGGAGGACGATGAGAACGAAGCCCAGTGGCAGGAGAACGTGGTTCCTCTGGTCGGGCAGGATGACGGTGATGATGCGAGTGGACTCAGCTTCGGTGTCTGTGGGGTAGAAAAGTCCCACAAAGTCAGGCCTGGTCTTTGTTTTTCCTCCCACAAACACACCGGAGTGTTGTCCTGTGGTCGAACATTACACAACCAGCAACAACTGCTGCTTTAGACTTTAAAGTTGTTTATGGACACATCGTTTGCTGAATAACGGACGTAAAACTCTAATTCTGCCTACATACTTATATAATTTATGTTTACGTATATTTAGAACTTTCTGTACAACATGACAAGTTGCACACACCATTTACAACATACTTTAAATGCTTTGCAAAGTGTTGAGTTTTATTTTCAAGCAGTACACAAAAATGTAAACACAGAAGGGATGTGAGGAACCAACATGTGCAGCTCTGCTCGGGTTTTAAACAGCAAAGGCTGAAAAAAAAAAAAAACATCTGGTGTCTTTCAGTTTTATTAAAAAAAAAGGTGCAACTCAAGAAGCAGCTGTGGAGCTCAGACTCAACGTATCTGAGCCAACATGAACTCCAGACTGGTGTCATGCAGGGATTTACTTTTCCTGGCACCAAAACACAGAAAAGGAAAGAGAGCAAGAGGAATGAAGGAAGGAGGGAGCAGGGTGGGATGAGGGAGAGGAAGAGGATAGAGATATAATCTCCTCCAGAGAAATACCTCCTTAACAACCCAAACTATAATTTATAACACATATGTAGTTGCTTGTTTGGTATATTCATAAAAACCAAGAAATCATTATTAGATTTGTCTACTGGACTTTTGTTCAGTACGTGGGAAAATTTATATATTTTTTTTTCTGGATTTTTATCTTTTATTTTCAAAAAAAGACCGAACAGTTTAATGTTTTTAGGCCAGGGGTTCTCAGTTTTTGGGGGGTTCAGGGACCCCCTCATAACCCTCATGTTTATTAAATATTTTTCTTCAATTTGTCTCTTTAATGCAATGGAAATATTTGTGTAGCATAAATACTTAAGACCTGTTCTTTAATCGTGTTGATACACTTTTTATACTTTTAAACATGGGGCATTTTTCATTCAAGACACAATTAACACATTTTTATTTCAACTTCCAAAAATTACAGTTTTGAGAAAATTAACACTTTCCTAAGACTTTTCCTTTTCACATAAACGTATCGCCACTTCTTCAAATTATTACAGAAAACTCTACATAAAACTGAACAGCAGCAGTTAAACCAGTAACAGGACTTCATTTGTAAACCGATCGATGCCAGAACGTAAATAGCGGGGCGGCCGGCAGGGGGTTGGGGTCAGCACCGGCTCGCGGACCCCCAGTTTGAGAACCATTGTTTTAGACAATTTTGAACTTTGACTTTCTTTTTTGTGTGGCTATCTTTTTAACAAATGACGTGTTTTGTTTTCATCTGCAGTTTACAGGCAAGACAAAATCTATTCCTCTCCACCTGGAGCTTTCACCACATTTTTCTACTTTTTCACCAAATACAAGAACCGTCAGGCTGAGAACGCTTCCACTACAAAACATCATACATGTGAAGTTTGAAGGGAACAAATACTGTGGTGTAAATTTTCCATGATACCAAAAAAGTACTGAGGATGAATGTTTACATGTGTGATTTCATGAGTGAGAGCAGACAAGCTGACGGTGCAAGAAAAACTATCTCCTTGAGGAAGCAAACAGAAAACTTCATCCTCTGCAGCTCTGCTGTTTGGAAAGTCCAGGGGGAGACAAGGAGGATAAAACAATGGAAAGAGCAGATGTGTGAGTTTTTCCTGATACTGTGGATCAGTTAAAGGATAAAACATCTGCCCTGTTGGCCTGTAAAACAGAAGAGAAGGAAGGTTTGTACCTTTGTCGGGCTCGGTGCTCTGAATCAGCGGCGGCTCGACTGCGAGCCGAAACTCTCTCCTCTCATGTAGACCACAGTAATGATGGTGAAGGTGACACGAGTATGTGCCCTGGTCTGGAGGCTGTCAAAACACACATGCACACTGAAATGTAGAAAAAAACAAAGCATGGATACAAAGACAGCAGGTGAACTCCAACTATTAAAGAGTTTCTGATCTGGTTTCCTCTTTAATACCAAATATTTTGGGGTCTTGTGAATCTGCATGGAGACAAATTGTGAGAAAGTTAACACAATCGTGTCTGAGGCTTCTCCACTTTATTCACTGTCATAGTTTGGCCATGTATAGTGCATAAAATGCACAAAGCTACTGGTTTGAGTCTCATTTGCCAGAGTGTCATTTAATTTATCATTATTATTGTTATTATTTACTTAACGGAGGAAGTTAAACTGATGGTGCATATGGTTTAAAGTAGGGTTCTGTGGAATGAGTATGAACAATAAATATCCTACCTGTTGGAAATGGCTCTTTGAACAACCTCTATTTGGAGAAATAGAAATGAATTCTGGCTGGATTGATGAGCTAATGAACCGCTAGTTCGAGCGAGGCAGAGGTCAAAATGGATTGTTGCCAAGTCCAGTCCCAAAACGGACTGTAAATTATTTTAAATGAAATTCCAAATTGTGTAGGTTGTTTATAGATGTTTGTCTGTTTTGATTGACTGTGTTGGTTGTTTATAAACATTTGTTTTGATTTCATGGTATTTGTAGTTTTCAATGAGTTTTGTTTATTTTGTACCTCACGGGATGCCATAGCCAATAAGGGCCAGACTTATAAAAGCTGGCAGCAATCAGTTGTACCAATGAATGGTTGCAAAACAACTGTCAGCAGGATTCAAATGCTGTTTGATGCGTAAAAGAAACAAAAAGAGAAATGTATGCTTTGCATTCCCTCGGTGAAAGCAGCGAGGTACGTTTTGTTTGTTTGTATTATGAGCCCATGTTCTTGTATCTAAATGTTAGTTTTCACGGCGATCTGGATTGAAGAAGAAATAAAAAAAGAGATATCACATTCGTACACTCATGGGACACACGTCGGAGACAATGAGGGGTTCAGTGTCTTGCAGGGACACTTCCGACATGTGACTGCTAGTGGATTTGAACCCCCAACTCTTGTATTGGAGGACGACTGCTCTAACCACTCAGCCACATCTGCCCAATGCTATTGCTTGGTTAATAAAATCCAGCTAGTTTGACAAAACCTTGCTATAACGTAGCTACAGTTAGGTTTACTATTTTAGATGCCTAGCATACACACAAATCATTATTCACTTTTGGAAACATGACTTGTTTTTAGATAATGGGGAAAAAACTAGCTACAGCTAACATTTTCAGCAGGCAATGCAACAACTACCCGTAGCTAGCTGTAGTTCATTAGCCCGGTGTTAAGAGTTTTTCTTCAAACAAGTTTGTTTTTTAGAGCTAAGTGCAGAGCCAGTGGAAATCTCATTATATTCCTAACAAAACACTATGTTTAGAAAATCCAGCTAGGTTTACAAAACCTAGCTACTGCTAGCTATAGCATTATCAGCAGGACATGCTAGCTGTGGCTAGGTTTATAAATCAGTGTACTCACAAATCACTATGAAATTTTTTTGGACTGAAGTTGTTTTAAGACAGTAGTATGGTAAATAAAAATCTAGTTACGTCTAGTTGTAGCAATTTAGTAGGAAAATGCTTCAACTTGCCATAGCTACCCAGCTGTAGCTTACTGGACCAGTAGTCTGGCAGAATTAAAGTCTATTTCTTCAAGCTGAAGTTGTTTTAAGAGCTATCCTCAACAGGTAAGATGTGGTAATTTGGTGGGGTTAAGTAGAAGTGTTCATAACATTTCTACTTAACAACAAAGTCCATGCTCAATAATCCAGGTATACAATCCAACATTTTTCAGTCGGGTCATCTGACATCTACTTAACCCCACAAATTAGCAACTGGTCAATGAGAACATTAGGTGACGTTTTACAAACAGTATTCAGTGCTGAGCCACAATGAAACAAAAGCAATTAAAGACAGTCAATTCTAAATATAAACTTATTTCATGCACATATTACAAAGTGGTAACTAAATGAAGTCATGCTTTGAACTATTTGTGAATAATAACTTTATTTTGTCTTGACTACACAGTGTTTAGGCTGCTCCCTTCTTCTGGAGTTGCCACAGTGAGCGAACTCGCATGAAAGATTTGGGAAATGTTTTACGCTGGATGCCCTTCCTGACACAACCTGGGCTCAAACCCACATCTTCAGGATTACAAGACCGTGGCACCAAGCTACTGCAGCCCAGATTACACAGCGTGTAAGCTTATAAAAAAAAAAAAAAATGGTGAAACTATTCAAAAATGCAGAGTATGCAACTCCTAGTTTCAGATTTCTGGAGATGGATCTGAAACTATGAGTTGATGGGGTGGAGGTTTGGGTTACTATTCACAGGACGAGAGAGTTCAAACCTGTGAATGTCGAGTCTTTGAGGAACACCTAACTTCATAAACAGTATGCAAACAAAATTTCCCCCTGAAGTGAGATTATACAATATTTATTTGTGCAACATAAATCTGTCACTTGTTGGTATAATTCTCAGACCAATGTTTTTTCAGTGCTGACAGCACTTTGCTTAGATTCGTCCAAACTTTCTTATACATTTTGTTTATACTTATTGCTAACATTTCAGTAAATAACTTTATTTTACCTCAACCAAAGTACATTAAACTGACAAAAAAAACCAAAAAAAAAACCCCGTGCTGTTCAGCTGCCTGTTTTGTCGGTTCTGTTTGACCTAAATTCTCTAACTCTACCACTCCATCATCTTCAGAAAATCCCTAGGAAATCTGAAGAATTTCCTGACTCTGCCATAAACCCCCGTCTGCTTGCTATTGTAACAAATGGTAACAACTGTTGCTCCGTGTTTTCTGTTCATGTGGTTGCTTGACATAATGTGGTTTCTGGTTCCCAGCTATAAATTTTGACTGGACAAGCGCTTCGTTGTTAATGACTGTTCCATGTGCTCAAGAAACTCTGTATCAGATGAACGCACAGGAATAAACCCATCTGTAAAAGACTTGTCAAAATGAACATGGCCACATCCACATTAAATACTATAAGATGTGTATTACAACCAACAGCACAATTACAATGTGCACTAATGTCACATTAAGTTAAAGATGCTAATAAATTAGCCTTGAATCACTCATTAAATATGTACAGGTTGATTTTGCATCCCTTACACACACACAATACATTAAAATGTGCAGCTTCATCAAGAATTGAGTGCAATGATTTTCAATAGCAGAACGTGAAAATCCATAAACAAAATTTGCAGAAATTTGTCCATGTATAACAAGAGGATTTGCACAAAATTAATGTTTTTTTTTTTGTTTTGTTTTTTGCTGTTCTCAAGCATAGGCCTACTTCTTTAGGAGAAACATCAGTCGAAGTTTAAACGGGTCGCAAAAAGTTGTAATTTACAGGACTAAACAGGAATTTTGATATATTTGATGGTTTTTAGACAATCACAGTTTAAGATGAATGGTTTTGGAATATTTTACCAGAGAATGTTCAACGTAGTGTCATCGCGTCGCACACTGACTTTCCAACTATCGAAACTTTTCACAACTTTTGTGAACAAACTTATTTCGAGGCACTTCTGTCACTTATGGCTCAAGATTTAATTTCTATTTAAGACATACGGTAGTTTTCATACAGTGGCTGTTTGTTTGAGGCTAACTTTCTATTTTGCATTTCAATGTTTAAATGCGCAGCACGGTGACGCAACTGGTAGAGCCGCTGCCTCTTAGCGAGCAGGTCCCCGGTTCAAATCCCGGTCCGGAGGCCTTTCTGGGAGGAGTTTGTATGTTCTCTCCGTGCATCCGTGGGTTTTCTCCGGATACTCCGGTTTCCTCCCTCAGACCAAAAACATGCATGTTAGTCTGATTGGTAACTCTAAATTGTCCCTAGGTGTGAGTGAGAAAACGGATGTGTGGTTACTATGGTAACCTTAATGGGCGGCTGTGGCTGAGTGGTTAGAGCAGTCGTCCTCCAATGCAAGAGTTGGTGGTTCGATTCCACCAGCAGTCACATGCTGAAGTGTCCCTGGGCAAGACACTGAACCCCTCATTGCCTCTGATGTGTGTCCCATCAGTGTATGAATGTGATAAAAGCATTGATTATTCTTTGTATAGATCTAGTAGAGTGCTGTATGAATGGGTACATGAAGACACAGATTGTGTTGTACAGAGCTTTGAGTATCGTCACAAGATAGAAAGGCGCCTTATAAGTGCAGTCCATTTACCATTTAATGAGCCAATGACAGCAGATTCCACCATTGCAGCAGAATGTAAGCATCTTGACACCTTGGGGTTTTATAAAAGTAAGTCCCACTTTGTGCTTTATAGAAGAAAGTTGATGTTTTGGACAGTAGCTGTTTTGGGACCCATCAAGATTTCTTCAGAAACGCTCTACCGTCTGTTACATTCTTATTATTTTACGTGCACACATACAAACCTGGAGATCTGATATTGTTAGTGAGAAGTCTCCCTCTGAGAAGGCTTGATTGCTGATGTTCATCTTCCTCTGGAGGAACAGAGGTCCGTAGCTGCGCTGCTCCCCAGAGGCGTACAGATCCACCAGACGATCAGCGCGGTCATGGCGGATTCCCGGTTGCTGACGGTCCCAGTGGACAACCTGAACGGCGACGGATATTTCAGTCAGTAAAAAGTGAACTAGTGGACAGATGTCGCCAACTGAGGTGCCACCTGCTGGTCCTCCTCCTCGTTGCTCCAGTCCGTCCACACGGTTCGTCTGTTGATGCAGGGCAGCACCACGGTGCTTCCGAGCAGAACCACGTACACCGCCTTTTGTCCATCCCAGAAGCGCTGCTCTTTGCGGCCTTTGTGAAGCGAAGACAAGCCATCAGAGAAGATGCTAGTGAACTAAGATTAGTTCACACACTGGCTTCTAAAGCCATACATACGTGATTTGGTCACATTGAGCTGAACTCTGACCGTCTCGTACAGGTGGCAGTAGAGATGGTGGAGGTTACAGGAATATAAACCTCTGTCCTTCATTGACACATCTGTCACCACACGCAGAAAGAAGAAGAAAAATTAAAGTTAGGGCATTTATTTTATTTAATACTACTATTAACATGTCTACAGAAAGTGGAGAAGTTAGCATTATGATGGATGTGATAATGCAGTATTAGTTTAAAATTGTGGGTTTGGGTTATGTTTAAAGGAAATGCACTCATTATGGACAAAATCTGCCATACATTCAAACCAGTCCACCCAGTTATTGTTTCTGGAAATCAATTAAGTTTTATGTTGTATAATCATTTCCATTAGAAAATGAAACTATTCAAACAAATCACTAAACGCTCAAAATGATTAATCAACAGCCATGATGAGCGAATAAAAACATCTTAATGTAACGGTACTACAGTAATATTTGTCAAAGATATACAGTCGAGCTCTAGCTACACATGTGACTCAAAATCTGTGAATGTTACCTTTAATGACGAGTGAGAAGTTTCCATCCTTGAAGGATGTCGGGTTGAGGCTGACCCTGTTCAGGTTTTGGTAGCTGTAGACCCTCTGGTCTCCTGCCGAGAACATGTCCACCACCCTCTCCATGGCGTAATCCGGATAATCCCGATACATGTCCCAGTGAACCACCCTCTGCCTGTCCCTCGTCCTGTCCCTGGTCCACACCATGCGGACGCTCACACACTGCAGCACCACCTTGGACCCAGTGGGGGAGCTGACATTATAACCCGCCACCACCACACTGCTGCTGCTGCTGTCAGACTGACATGACACTGAAGGATGGGGAAAGAGGGAGAGTTGTTTTCAGTGCATGCAAAAGAAAAAATGAACTCTCAGAGGAGGAAAGGGCAGATGTGATTCACACCTACGCTAACAGAAATATACCTGCAGTGAAGAAGCAGGCTGCAGACACGGGAATAAAAACACTGAATGTGTTAAACAGATAAAAGCTGGAGGTTGTGTTGTTTGAATTTTTTTTTTTTTTTATGGATTAATATCTAATAAAAGCGTATTAATGCTTGAAGAAATGCATGTGGCCCACCACATTTCGCATCAGAGTTTTAGACCAAGATCAGCCTGTTGAGAAATGACAGATCTTAAACTTCAGATCTAACGTTATGCTCAATCTCATGCAACATATTATCTTTGATGTACAGGCTCAGGGTCAAAAATGACTCTTGGACAATCTCCATCGACCCCAAAACTCTTAGTTGAAAAGAAAACAACTTTTTTAAAAGTTGATAAAAACATAAGGAAGTTTAAACTAAATATCTTGGATCAACATAAAAACCTTTAGAATAAGGCTATTATTTAAGTTTTGTTTCTAGAACTAGACTCCAAAACTCAAATATATACTTTTTTTTTTTTTAACCCCATATTTAGGCTAATATATTGTTACAAGAGCCATTTTACAGAAAGTATGTCTTATATTTCTACAGTGTTTTGTGGGGAACATATTTTTTATTGAGCATGCAAATTAACAAGTAAAAGCCTGAAAAACATTTTATTTTATTTTAATTTTTAGATTTTGTGTCATAATAAAAAAATTATTTTGCAATTATTTAAGTGGCCCTTCTATTGCTTTAAATATTTTGATTCAGCCCTTTGGAAAAAATGGTTGCCCACCCCTGATCTACCATGATCCGTTAGCGCTCAAGAGCATGTTTTGTAAAGGACTCGGATACAACAAATTTTAGCTCAGTTTCTGTAAAATTCACTGAGTTCCAGCAACTTTATGTTGGATAAGATTGATTAGCTGTGGCAGCCATCTTACATTTAGTTGACTCCATGATTAAATCGTTTGTAGACGTATATCCAAGTTTTATTAAGCACCCATCCAGTGGTTCTTTCAACATATTAACAACAGGAACACAATTGATTCCAGGACAGAACTGAAAGTTTTAAATGCAGATTTTGTATGATGAGTTAGAGCTCAGAGAATGTGTTCGGGATCAATCTCAGCTACAACCACAACATGTTGTAGCTCAATATTAGTAAAATGAACTGACATATAGTCATATCTGTGTTTGCTACCATCGCTTTGCTTTAGTAGCCATCTTGAACTGAACTGACTCCAAACATCAGAGATGTACATCCAATGATTATTTTTGAAAGTTTCATTAAAATTAGTCCAGTGATTCATGAGATATTTTACAAACAATACAAATACACACACACACACACACACACACACACACACACACACACACACACACACACACACACACACACACACACACACACACACACACACAAAGACATTATCCTCCACCTTGACCTTGTGACATCTTATCCTACAACCACCTCTTTCAGCTTTTCTTGGAGGACTCCAAGCCATTCCCGGGTCAGCCGAGAGACACAGTCTCTCCAGCATATCGTGAGTCTCCCAGTTTGATATGCCCAGAAAACCTCCTTGGGGAGGTGCCCAGGGAGCATCCTTACCAGATGCCCAGACCAACTCAACTGGCTCCTCTGAATGTGGAGGAGCAGTAGCTCTACTCTGAGTCTCTCCTGAAAAACTGAACTTTTCATCCTAACTCTAAGGGAAAGTCCAGCTCCCCTGAAGAAAACTCATTTAGACTGACTATCCTTGTTTATCCTCGTTGCTACTCAAAGTTTGGAACCATAGATGATGGTATGAGCACAGACCGAGCAGTAAACGGTGGGCTTCGCCTTGCAGTTGGCTCCCTCTCCACCACAACAAACTAGCACAGATCTTTGTTTTTTTGAATGTCCAGAGGACCAGATTGAACTTTTTTGGATTTTCCTACCTGGATTATTGAGCATGCATCAAGAAACTAGCACAGAGTTTGCGTTTCAGTGGTAGCTGCTGCACCTATACGTCTGTCAGTCTCACACTCCATTCTTCCCTCACTCACAAGAAAACCCCAAGATGCATAAACTCCTCCACTGGAGACAGCATCTGACTCCAAACCCAGAGAAGACAGTCAAACCTTTTCTGACATCATGGCCTCATGATCATCATCCTAGGTGTTTCACACTCTGCTGTCTGTGATCATGCCCCTCCAAGTCACACTGTTGCTATCCACATGGGCATTGAAGTCCCCCCAGAAGAATAAAGGAGTCCCCAGTTGGAGCATCTTCCAGCACCCCCCACTAAGGGCTGTAATGCTGGATATGCTGAACCACTGTTCAGCACTTTGGCACAAACAACAGTCAAAGCCCGTCCACCTACCAGAAGGCATAAGGAAGCTATCCTCTTATCTACCGGGGAAAACTCTTAATGAACTGGCACCAAGCTGGGGTAGCTACGAGTAGACCCACACCAGCTTGGTGGCTCCCATCATGGGCAACTACAGAGTGGAATAAGGTCCAGCCCATTACAAGGAGACTGGTTCCAGAGTCCATGCCATGCATCAAGGTGAGCTGGACTATATCTATATCTAGTTTGTACATCCATCAGCATCTATAACATCTCTTAATGAAATGAGGATAACGAGCTACAGCGACAAATAATTTCCCTTTGGGATTAATAAAGTATTTTTGAATTGAATAAACCTCACACACACAAGCTAAGACTCCTCGCTAACCAGAGAGGTGACATTTCATGTCTCAAGAGGCAGCTTTGGTGAGCCAGGGTCAGAGTGCCAAGGCTCCCATCTTGGGCTACCACCCAAAGCACCATGCAAATTCATTCAACCTTTATTTCGACAGGTTAATAAAACAAATGACCCCGATTGGCCCCTCCTGCAGGTGAAGAGCCCATAGGAAGGCCATGAGCCCCTCCCCAGTCCTGGCTATACAGTGGGGCCCCAGTAATCCATAATTATTATTAATTAAATAAAGTTTAATTAATAATTATAATGAGTACTCTTAATAATTGTTTTTTTAATTTAAAACAATTGTTAAAAACTTTTTTTTAAATTCTGTCAAATTGTCTTTGAGGAGAACAGAGTACAAACTAAGTAAAACTCACAACAATATCCTGCAGCAACTGTTGTTGATAATAAGGTACCAGTGTTTAAGAATTGTAGCGTTTTTATTTACTATTCTGTTAAACTTGCCAATCCGACAAAGATGCATGCTGCCATTAAAATAAGAAATATTTTTGTTGTCTGTCAATATTTTCACCTGAACGCTGTGTCTGAGCTAAGCAGAGCACTTTCAACTTTTCTAACTCCCAAAATTCAACAACAAAAACATCATTATTAGATAATAATTAAAAAGACATGCAACCTTTTTTATGTAGTACAATGCTAGTTTAACAGTTTTGTTCATGATCAACCAAATTATTGTCCCTTTAAGCTGAATTCACCCTCTAAAAATAACAACATGAATGCATCTGTGTACAGTTTTGGCAAACGGTGCAGCACAGATGAAGTTCACTGAGCAGTTTTATTTCCATTTCCTTTTCTTGCCTTAAGGCACGGGTGTCCAAAGTGCGGCTCAAGGGCCATTTGCGGCCCTTGGAGTGATTTTGTGTGGCCCACAACTAGGGGCACACCAATACATCGGCTGGATGATTTATCGGCCCCGATTTCCTTAATTTTGGGAAATCGGCAGATACTTGCACGAGAAACCGATTTTTTTTAGTTTTAACAACAATTGTCAAAACTTAATTTATATTTCAGAGCACTGACTCATGGCCAGTTAAAAAAAGTTTGTATTGTTCGTGGTACAAAGCACCAAAAACCTTTACTGATTTCTACCAGCAAGGAGACTTTTGGATAAAGATTCATAAAACTTGGCTAAATATTGCTGTTGATAAAATAATCAATAGGGAAACTGAACATTTTTAAATGAATATAACGTGGTATCATCTACATACGAGTTGATCAACTTTATCAAACTATGAATCTGTTGTAGTAACTGACAGCTGGACAGTTTTTAAGAACTTTGATCAACCTTTTGGGCCGTCCATGGTCCAAAAGGCTGATAGACCCATTTTTAAAAGGAGACCTACTCAAATTACAATTTTGTTGCTGAGAACAGATTAAAATGAACTTTCCAAACACAAGAAAACAACAAACATAGACCCATCAAATCAAATAAATAAAATCATTTTTAATAAAAATATATAAGCTTAGTGTTTATGAGGCTTTTAACATTTTGAATCTACAACAATTTAACTTTTTCTCCACCAAAATTAGTAAACTTTTGTCCTTTCTCCGAAATATTGTTCACACTGAGAGTTATATCGACATGTTTGTGGCCCACAAGTCCTTTCATCTGGATAGATTTGGCCCAAATATGAAAACATTTGAACACCCTGCCTTAAGGTGTTTAAAGAAATAACTTCTACATTTAACATGTTGGGAAACTTGATAAAATGTTTCCAATATGTGATGCAGACAAAACACTGAAATCATTCATGAAATTAAAGTTAACAAAAGCTGGTTGAGAAAGATGGCTGCCAGTTTTCCTTTTAAATCCAAAATGGAAACAACTTACTGAGGATGAAAAGGAGGGTCTGAAGTAGAAGACAATCCTTCCTCATCATGACAGGATTACATCTGTCCGCATCAGAAAAAATATCTCCTGCTTCACTTTCCTCAACAAGTATTTCTGAGTCCAGTTTAATGAGACGGCATCGCTGAGTGCAAAGACACAGAACCCAAAGGAACTGATGTCAAATGAAACCTTACACCGTCTGACAGCCCTCCTCCAAGGAACCCTGACATGAACTTACAGTACATCTCAAGAGGCATTTTACTGCATAAACC